AAAATGAAAAAATAAAATGATGAAAAAAAATGATTTTACATGGTGTGCTGGTCAGCTATGTCCACAATTGTGTAATGTGATGTAGTCTGTAGTCTCAAATACAGACGGAACAACTTGAGGTTTTAAGAAGCTTAAAATTTCCATTAAATTTTATGAAAAACAAACGACAAAAAAAAGAAAAGAAAAAACTCGCTGCTTAAAAACCCATCAATTTTTGTCTGGATGAGAGATAAAGAAGGTTGTATTACATGTATTCAAAGTGAACCAAGTGACCGATGGGAATGCGCAAGGAATGAATGCGAACGGACTGAAGAATGAACAATTTAAACAGCTGCGGCCGCATGTCAACAATAACAACAACAGCAGCAGCAACAGCATCGGGTAAGCATTCATATGGTTTTCTTAAGAAAATCCGGTTTTTCAAAAAGAATATCGCTTCAGGCGGCGCAGGCAGAAGAGGGGCACGGAGGGATTTGCTGAACGAGGGAATGGTCATTTCTGCTAGTGCTACTGCTACTACACAACTACAAAAGCATTGGATTCTACCGCGACAATCACTGTACTAAGAAAATATTACTTCTACCCGTGAATGCCTCTTGCATGAAGTCAAAACCTCTTCGTATTCATGCTTTTTTTCTGTGAAAAACGGAGGCACTCAAAAATAGCCTGAGTACTGTGCACTTAGGAACCACTTACTGACAAGGCCGTCGATGGCTCCCTCTTCCGCGGAGTTGCTTGGAAGCAAGCTGATGACAGATCCTTACAATAACATTAAAATTGAGGACTTATGTGATGTATTATTTGTTGTATAGTTAAGAAAACGATTTTTTCAAAAATTATGATTTTAGAATTTAATTTTTTTGATGGATTTGTAGATTTCTTAGGTTTAAGGTTTTTATTCGAATTTTCTTCCAGATGAACGATTTTGCTGATGTTATTAGCGGTTTCGCTATCCTCGGTACGCCATTGCTCCGCATTCTCACCATTATTGCTGCTATGGCAAGTTTTTGCAACTTGAAACGTCGAGAAACTGGTCAATCCTAGCTTTTTTAGGAATTGAAGAGAATTCGTGATCCAAGTTATCAGCATTCCAGATCAACAATACCAGCCTGCTTGCGCAATTCGTTTTTTTTTTTTTTTAACAAAACAGAAGTAATTTATCATGTCGTATCCATTCTCTTGTGCCAGATCAAGTTCTTCAGAAGCCATCCAGATTGGAGTGGATGATAATTGAGATCCAAAACTGGTCCGCTTGCTCACTCTTTTTTTTTTTGTTCGCCTACATGCTGCACATAATTGGTTTTACAAGCTTGGGACAAAAAACAGTGATGTTTTGCGGGGATTCTGGTGATTTGAGGGCAATTGCTGGACATTGCTGGACGTAGCAACACCCATGATAAAAGCTTGCTGCGAAGAAGCAGTGCATTATAGTAGTCTTCAAAATCCAGTTTAAAGGGAAGGGGGAATAATTTTTTGCGTAGAAATCTTGGTTTTCGAAGAAATTGCAAGATGCGAAGCACTTTTTGACAGTGGTTTTGCTCATATTATCTGATAATTTTCTGTAATTTAGAAAAAATCATTGTTAATGGATAATTTTGTGAAATCACAGTTACTTTTTTCGGCCAGCCAAAGTTGTGAGTCCTTTTCCTACACAGCTGGTAATTTTACTAGTTGTTCCAACCGAAGCTGCAACGTCTGTTGACCGTTTTGATAACAATCCTGATGTTCGTTTTGTCTCAGCCCAGCAGTTTTTCTCACAAAGATATTTTTGACAAAACTTTAACAGTTTTAAGATCCCACTGAAGTGTGTGTGTTTTGAACAACAGCAACTCATCTTGAAAGTTGCCACTTCAATAACAAAAAGATGCATTTTCTTCTTTCATAAAATCATATTCCCTTTAAAAAAAAACCCGATGATCAACGGCAGTGGTAACCCAGTTTTTGCTGAAATGAAATTCATTTCAGGATCGATTATCCTTGGATAGGTACATAATCAGAAAGATCGAAACACCTCGGGAAGCTGCTCAAACGATACCATGTAGCAATAACAACTACCTGCTGGCAGAGTTGCTGGTAGCTCTTCAACTCCCACCCTTCCCCCCGTCTCTTGAAGAATGCTTATAAGCAAGTTGGTGATGGGTTTGACTTCCTGCTACATGCCAGTTTCAATTTGTCACTGAAAGAAATGAATGAATCGTAGAAAGACTGGCTATTTTACATGAGGCGAGTCAAATCCTCGACTTACTGCACCACAGCAACCTTGCTACTTCCCACTAAGCCGTGTCTGCCAGCACCCATACTATAACAAATAGTGCTACTTCTTTTTTATGCACTGTAACTCAAAATAAGAAAAATTCACTGTTTTAATAAAACGTCGAAACGATGAAAAGCACGGTAATTTGTAAAACGTGTAAACACTGAGCACAAAAATTTTGAACACATGCTGCGCCATTATATACCGACAAAACGATTTTTTTGTAAAAAATCGTTATAAATACCAAGGCCACCCAAATAATTCGGTTTGGGTATCCCATGTTAATGATGTTACTGAGATGCTCCCACATGCAGGGAGCAACTATGTCAAGCACTTCAGTTCTGGACTGAA